GGTTCTTCATCTCACCGGTATGCTGAAAGCGCCTCATCAAAGAACCGCCAAGGTTTGTCAAACGTGATGCCTTGTCGGGGCGACTATCTTCTGTGAGTTCGACAGCCTCCCTCTGTGCTGCGATAGCAGTCTCTAGATCGCCAAGCCTGCCTGCTCTTTCAAAGGACCTCAGTAACGAGCCGCCAAGTATACTCAATCGCGACGCCCTGTCAGGATGATTTACAGGTGTGAGCTCAACCGCGAGGCGATGCGCTGCGACAGCCTTCTCGAGATCATCTAGTCTATCAGTCCGCTCGAAACGCCTGAGCAAGGAGACCCCGAGATTGGCAAGGCGAGATGCTTTCGCTGGATGGCTCTCGTCCGTAACCTCCAGCGCTCGACGATGTGCCGAAATGGCTTCTTCTATATTCCCGAGCTCGCCCGTAAGCTCGAAGCGCCTCGCTAAGGCATTTCCGAAGTTGGTGAGGAAATCAGGCTCGGTCGCACCGGCGGGTGCCATGTCTATGGCACGACGGATCGTCAAAATGGCATGCTCCAAGTCTTCGAATCTGCCCATACGGTCATAGCACTTGAGCAAGATGATACTGTAATGGCTCAAAAGCGCTGGCATATTGACATCGTCGCGTGGCATGAGCTCAGCCGCACAGGAGAAGTCCGTGGCGGCATCTCGGAGATCATCAAGAGTGCCGGTCTGCTCAAAGCGTTCGTATAGGGAGCTACCCAGACCAATGAGATACCCGGGCTGAGCCGGATCGTCATCGGACGAAAGTCCGACAGCAATCTGATACGCAGAGACAGCACTGTCAAGGTCGCTAAGGCTGTTCTTGACCTTGAAGCGATCGTAGAGCCTGATACCAAGATCCGATAGCAGGTCTGCATCACTAGGGTCCGAGACGATGTCAGCCACGATCTGTGCAGTCTGAATGGCAGCATCAAGATATTCGATATCGCGGGTGGCACGGTATATCCTCCACTGGCAATCCCCAAGTTGGCGGAGGCCCATCTGGATTGCCTTGTCAGGAAGGGAAAGCTGCTTCAACAAGCGGAGGAATATAGACGTACCCAGACGCTCGGCGACGACATCAGTGTCCTGTTGGTATATCGATGAATCTCCGATGGCGAACAACGCTCAGTGAATCACTCACTTTCAGATAGACGGACAATGGCGCTGTATGGAAAGCGATGGGGCACTCGCGTTGAAGGCGATGAGACCTATGTATATGAAGGGTGCTCAGCCACAGGAGCTTGGAAGCGGCCGGAAGGAGGATCAGGGTTCTTTGGGTGTAGGAATGGAAGACCCTGACGAGGATGACAGCACTTGTCCGGTACTTGTCCAATATGCGACTGACGGCTCTCGTTACGGAATAGTATGTGACTGCCATCTTATGGAAGAAGGACGGGCGTAAGTAGAAGAGAACAACTCCTGAATCTGCCCATCTTGCAGCTAGCATGCTCGTCGTGGGCTGCAAGGGTATCATATGCACAGCCACGATGTGGTTGATCGGCGAAGTTGACGCCCCTATCATCGTGGAAGCGTACCATGAGAAGCTGAAAGAACGGGGGCCGCCAGACGTTAGTAAACGACAAGGACAGGGAAGCACCGCTTATGCAGTGAGGCATCCAAGGGTTAATGTAAGAGACACCTTCCGTGAAGTGGGTGTCTTTCGTCCATTTCTGTAGTACATATGCAAGTAGATTCGGAGCACGTATCCGCATACGTGTATTTCTGTGACATCCTGCGACCGAGGTAGACAGCGAAGCTAAGGTCGAAGAGGAGATGCAGCACCAGCAGCGAACATATGGAAGGCTACCGGCCACGAAGCTCACACTCATGTGATAGAAGAGAGACGGCCTCTGGGTAGCGAGGCCGGATGTCGACACGGAATGGCTTGGGGCGTCTAGGCAATAGGTCAACGTCATCATATTCGTAACAAAGCAAGCGACGACAGACATGGTAAGACCATCATCGTCAGAGGCGTCCACATCTAGCTTCTGTCCATCAGGATTGGCCAAGAAAAACGCCCAAAGGCAGGTCGCGATATCAATGAAGAGGCTATTGTTAGCGATCGCTTTACCGACGCATATTCTGTTGTTGAAGTATGAGTGAGGAACCGGACATGGAGTATAGACACTTGGTCTCCCACGCACCGTCTTCCGAAACCTGCTATTGATGAGCATAGTGTTTCTGAAGGTTACTGAATCGAGAACACACCAAAGGTAAAGTGTCCTTCCTCCTTAGAACCCGGTGGACCGGGAAGAAGGTTCCCGTTCTCATCGAGGTGTCGAGCAGGATTGAAGTCATGAGCGTCGGCACCGTACGTATCCCGGTCATGGTTGAGCTCCCAGGCGTTTGCGATGACGATGGTTCCTTTTGGGATGAAGTGACCTTCGTAGTAGTCATCCTGCGTGCTGCGATGCGGACTAAACATCACGTCATATCTTACGCGCAAGAGGTCGAGCAGGCTAGGAGAGACGTACACTCCAAGAGGAATCACGGTTGACCAGCGAATGGCCTCCTTGACCATCGCGCGGATGTAGGGAAGATGAGGCATGTCGGCGAAATTTGGTACTCGCGCGCGTCCAACAACAGTATCCAGTTCTTTTTGAGCACGCTTCTGAACCTCCGGATAGACCATCATTGCCAGGGACCAAAAGAGCATGATGGAGAAGACCGGGTCGGTGCCCGCCGCACTGGAGATAATGTTAGATTGTCTGTCTCAGAGTGGAGTTGAGTGAACTGAACGCACTACATGGCAGCCGCAAGCCAAGCCTTCTCGCGATCATCGAGCCCGTGTCGATCACCGTCACGTATCAGAGTCGCACACATGGAAGTCCCAGCCATGTCGTTGGCCTAACGCTTGGTTAAGTAGGCCCATACTGTGCATATCATCCTACGTACCTCTTTCTCCTGCACGCGCCCGAAGAGTTGACCAAACGTCTCGTCATCCTTCTTGCGCCATTCCTTCGCGTACGCTTTCCAGGGAGCAAAGCGACTGGGAATATATCGCATCCAAGGTAACAACTCAACCTATGATCCTCGTTAGAAGGACCGTGAGGAGACAGCCTTAAGGTGCTCGTACCCAATGGGCCCCCGTTGCCGCAGCTGTAGTGACTCGAGCGGCAAAGGCATTGATGAAGCTCACGCGGTCGTCTTGTTCGCTCGCGACCTACATCTGTAGTCAGCATCGTACTAGACAGGCAACCTAAGCGAAACCACTCACTGGCTCGTCATATATGCAAGAGAGCATCATACTTGCAGCGGACCGACGAACATGCGAGTCCCAGGAACCTGGGTCTTGCAAGGCGGCACGCGCGAGCAACAGCGCCTCTATTGTCTGATACTCGTGCAAGTTCTGAGCCGGATGAAGACTCTCGTGTGCTGCCTTACGCATGTGCTGCAGCCTGCGAGGCATTCGTCAAGATACCGTGTAGACATAAGACGTCACTCACTTATCATTCCAACGAATAAAGGGAAGGAATATACCTCCACACAACATCTCTGAGGCCACGATCATCCGTGGTCTGTCCGAGTATATGCTCGCGCGACGGTCAAGCAGCTCAGTGGCGATCTTGTGACTGTTGACCACTACTATAGGTTGGCCGGCTGCATCCAGGGAGAAGATGTCTCCTGTACGAAAGGCGTCGTCAGCGAGATACATGAGCTAGGGATGCGACGGACGTACCGTAATCCTTGCGCCATGCGCTAAACTGAAGCCAAAGCTTGTCGGTGTTTGTGAGTTGAAGCGCGTTGCCGATGATGGGTAGGCCCGTCGGTCCGGGAGGGAGTTTGCGCCATGGACTTGTCAGGTAGCGGACCAGTACTGTACGACGACGGCGAACCCAAGAGCAAATAGCGAGGCGAACGTCGCTCGGTGCTCATCGGTAGCAAGAGCGAAGCTTGTAGGGATGAATACCGCAAACTTAGAGAGCTGTGAGACCATCTTGACCGAGCGTGCAAGCTGGAATGGAGCAGGAATTCTAAGGATCCGGCAAGGCTACCCTGCCGTCTTATGTATAGCACAGGAGTAGAGAACGCCGAGAAGATAAGAAGGATCAGGAGCAAGTGTACGCCAGGGTCAGCGCAATTGGGGAATGGTTGCAACTTCTGAATACATAGGATGAATCGCCGTAGTGCTGTGAATGCGTGAGCCTTCTTTGCACGGCTGCAGCTGATCATGACATGCGCCATCGTAAGCTCTTCGAGGACACATATAGCAAGGCTCTTACCCATAGCAGTCAGCTCCAGGAACTTCGAAAGTTCGAATCAGTAGCTTCCGACACGCTACGGCGTTTAAAGGTGACAATCTCAAGCTACGACAGCGAGCCTGGCAGGCTGTTTGTCTTTGACAGAACCATTACTTATGTCAGGATGTGGAAGGCGCCAAACCTTATCGGTGGTCTGGCGATAGGAGGTCATGGACGTTGAGAACAACAACGAGTGTCGCGCGCCGCGTCGTGCACATCGTGCGGCTTTCCCAGAGCAGTCCTCGGGACCTTGGGCCACGAACCGGCGATGCTCATACGGGAGGCACAGCGAACAACATAGATACCATCGAGTTACCTAGCTTGGCTAGGTTTCCCACCTGCAAAACCTGTCATCAGGCACCGGTCCACCGGTGATCGCCGAAGACGCGTCGCGATGCCATCAACTCTTCCTGCCTGCTCACTGCCTCTGCTCCGACCAGTCTGGTAGACTCCTTGCTTGGCTCTGCAGCATATATCACTCGCCCATTGTATTAGTATGCATCAGAACGCGGGTCATGGTATGAAAAACAAAAAGCCGTGCAAAAGACGGCCGGCCGAAGGCCGGACCCGATGCAGACCAATGCATGCAGCAAGGCCGAAGCAAGACAGTTCGCAAACAGTTGTGCTGATACGCCTGTCAAACATCACAGAAATAGGTCAAAATTCGAAGGAGATCCTGTCCAAGCTAGGTTCCAGCTGCGGCACGCAGCGCTCTAGTGAAAAACAGTAAAAACAAACGAGCTCACTAGGAGGACAGCTGCTACCAGGGTTCGAACCTGGGTTACGGGAAGCCTTCCGCACCACTCGAAGGGCACGTTCAAAATCCCGAGTGATAACCACTACACTATAGCAGCATGCTCCTGATTTACACAGTACTATACATATTTGCAATTTACTGTACGTCCGACTCGAGGCAGGGCGGCAGACGTAGAAAGGCGATTCAGTACATTTCATGCAGTATACAGATCTGGGCACCTGAAGAGGCCATTGATAGCTTCTCTTGAGCTTCAGTCTGGTACTGGTACTCAGCGTGAGACTGGCGCCAGCCAACAAACTTGTAGTTGTACATGTTTCTTAACCTCGACGTCCCCAGTTTATTTAAGTATTCACGCCTTCATGATCACGGTCAAACAATTCACACCCAGAGCAAAGGATTATATCAATACGTATATTATCCTATTCAAAATTCAGGATTCCCTAACTAACAACGACGTCCCGCGCCCGCGCGCGAGGCTTCTTCGACTTCAACTTCGGATGCGATACGAGGGCACAGGGCACAAGGCAAGGGCAAATGGGCAGGGGCAAGTATGGTACAACCCGCACAACGCGAGCGATTCGGATTTGTATTCTGGGGGCGAGTCTGGACAGATCGACTCGATGCAGGCAGGAGATGGTGAGGGAAGATGCTAAGAAGAGTTGGGGTTCAATGAGAACGTATCGGAAGGAGGGAAAGTTAATGGCACTGGCCCGGAACGTAACCCCATGTATGCAGCGGGGCTTCAAAGGGCAAAGGCAAGTAGAGGCATAGATATAGGGAGTGAGAGGGATTGAAATTGATGCGCATGATGCAGCCAGAGACGAACGGATTCTCAAAACATAACCTGATACGGTCCAACAATGAACACGGCACGAGCGAGACGACAGGACCACCACAAGCGGCGAGAGACGGGGGCAGATCTACTTCTTGCCCAGACTCAGCGCACCGAAGGCTCCGCTGAGCGCATCGAACGCGTTCTCCCGCTCACACGCACCCAGACCAGTAGCCATCCTTGGCATACTCGGTGTACTCCTGAGCGCGGGCTTCGGCGATGTAGTCGCAGCCATCCTGGGCGAAGCCGGGGTACGAGGTGCAGGCTCGTCGACGTCGACAACGCGCACGACGGCGCTACCCTCGAGGACACGGCGGACCTTGTCTGCGTCGACACCCTTATTGTTGTGGCCGGCGCCGCCGGCGAACGCGTCCCAGAAGGCAGAGCCAAGACGGCCGATGAGCGTCTGGCTGGCCATTGCCGCGAGTACCGCCTGCTCTTGCTGGCTGGCGGAAGGCCCGGCCATAGGGGACACAGGCTTGCGATCCGAGGCGCGCGGCGAGGCCGGTGGACTCGGGTATGCCGCGGCCGCAGAAGACGGAGAAGGTGCGGAAGAAGAGTGCTTGCCGGAGAGGAGGCTCGACAGCGCAGGGGAGCGCGCCGAGCTGAAGAATGCCGGACGGAGGCCAGCCGCAAGACCGTTGACGGCCGGCGAGTCCTTGTGCTGGTTCTGCGCAGCGACGTTTGCCATGTGCTGCTGCATCTGCTGTTGCTGGCGGGTCTGCTGAGCCATACGAGTCCAGAGCTGCATGCGATACCTATACCCCAAGTGTTGGTCACCATTGCCTAGTCACAAAAGAGATGAAAAGACGTACGCGTCGAGCATCTTCATCGTGAATGGGTTCTGGTCCGCGAACGCATCAAAGCGTCCACCTACCGCGCCCATACCGTTATTGGCGGTAGCGGGCGTAGGCGCGTTGAGCGCAGGGTTCATGTTCTCTTGCAAGCGGCCCTTGGGCGTCGCATTCTCCAGCGGACGCGCGAAGCTTTCGGGGATAAGAGTGGTGTGAACAGAAGTGACGCCACCACCGAACATGCCGTTGTGGCCTGCCCAGAAAGCCTTGTTGGCGCCGGCGGAGGGGCTGGCGGGGACGTCCTTGTGCATGTTGGGCGTGAGAAGCTGCTTGTTGCTTGCCGGCGGGGCGGGGGACGCGGACGGAAGCGGGCCGGGCGGTGGCAGCATGGGCGCATCGGGCGTTGTGAGGAGCGCCTTTTTCAGGGCGTCTATCTCATACCTGAGTGCGGCATTCTCCGATTTGGTGCTGCCGAGTTCGGAACGAATGGCGTCGATCAAGCGGTCGCGTTCTGCGATGTCACCCTCGAGCGTCGTGATGTACTCTGCGCGATGTATGATAAGCGATCAGGACAATAAAGTAGAACAAAGGAAATTCAAAGCAATACCCACCCTTGCGACGCACGCGGAAATTGCGAGCGGAGATCTTGTTCCGAAGCTGGCGCTTCTCCTTTGAGCTCATCTTCTTGTACTCCTCAGGGCTCGGACGCCAATCATCAGCCTCGTCGTCGTCGTCGATCGGGTCCTTGTTGCGCACTACAGCCGACACCGCCGGCTTCTTGGTGATCCCGCCAGACTGGACGGTACCACGGCGGGCCTTTCCCTTGCCGCCGGCTTTGAGGGGAGCAACTTCAGTGCCGGTGGGCGAGGCAGGGGACGCAGAGTCTTCTGCGTGCGAGCGCTCGTCGTCGCCCTCATGCTGCATCTCCTCGGGCGAAGAATGCTTGTCCGAGCCGCTGGATCCCGAACCAGCGTCGGGGGACGCCGCAGGCGTGTGCACGAGCTGAGGATCAATTGCAAATTGGGCTGGCGCGGCGGTGTTGAAAGCTGCGAGGAAGTCGAAGGGAGCGCCCGTCGGTTGGGGCGGGGCGAGAGGATCCTGCTTGGTGTAGTCGAATGGCTGGGAGAAGGAGAAAAAGTCTGGCTGGACGAGGCCGAAGGGGTCGCTCTCTGCGCTGAACGGCTGAGGCGGGGTGTGGAGCGGGTCCGAGGGCGCGGGCGAGTGGGACGAAGCACGCGAGCCAGACGACGGTGGCGACGTCGAGCTTCCCGACGGACCGGCGTGCGAGAACAGATCGAGGTTCAGGAAATCGGCAATGTCATTCTCTGACGGATTGCAAAAGGGCGAGGGCGAGTACGCAGAGTCAACTTGCATGGTCGGTGGTGGTGGTGGTGGTGGTGAAGCAAACGTCGGCTGTGGCTGAACAACCCGAGTCGTACGCGGCGCGGCACATCGGCAACTCCCGCTTATCAATCCAGGATGACACCCTTCCAGTCCTTTCTATAGAATATCGTCCCCAACTCATCCAACCCTTCCCAATCCAGCTCTATTGCATATCAATGCCAACTATGCTGGCGTACATCTCACGGTGTCGGCCAGCCTACCGCCAGTCGCACCATTGTTGTCTACCGCCAACGCAACACCCGCAAGTCCAGACTCTCCAGGCTCCAACGCCAATTTTGACATCGCCCCGTGGCTGCGGCTCCTCCCTCGCCTCCGCCGCCGACTCCTCCCGAGATGACCATGGTGGCCCCAATCGACCACATCTTCCCCTCGAACATCACCGCACCCGCTACAGCCACCTGGCCCACAAAGGGCCATCGATTGACATCCCTTCATGAGATCTGCCGTATCCCGGGCCTCCCCGTTCACGCAAGGCGCTTCGTCTGTTCGTTTGAGTTGTTTCTCTCTTTCTCAGCCGGCCGACCGCAATGGCTCGACGGTACCGCTCCTCCTGCCTCCTTGTGACCTCTTGGCTTGTGTGCTGCGCTGTCTTTTGCACTCGCAGTGACTCGCAACCCAATCCAGAGTCCCCTTGGGCGCCTCGCTCGCTGCGCGAATCCCAGCAACTGAATCAGTGAATGCTCGCAGTCCCTGCGCCCACAAGACCTCCGTACTGCGCCCAAGAATCTGCACAGCTTGATCTTCCTTGTTCTCTTGTCTTCTACCCGATGACTCTTAGGACGACGTGGATCGATGCTTTGTTCAGGCTGTCGACGTGTCTGAAGCGGCTCTACTCCCGCGCATCCGCATACTTACTCGTCGAGCGTTACTGTCAAGCACTCTACCACTACCAAACATAAGATCTTCTATCTAACCTGTGGGCGTACCACGCACCGCAAGCCATCGATGACCTCAACCGCTCGTGGATCTGAACGTGCCGAACACGACTCTACGCCCCGTACAAACGCCCGCCCCACCGTTCTCGACGCGTTCTCCGGACTGTGCGGAGAAGTCAAGATATTCAATCGATGAGCAAAATTTCAAGGGCAACTGTTGAACGTGCAGACCATGCCTGCGCAAGCCCTTCATCTCCCGACGTTCTCGACGTCCAGGAAGAAAACAAGCTCCCTTGAACACCTTCTTCTCTTCGCTAACCGCTTTTACGATCTCGTCTACGCCCAGATGTGCTTCCGACCTTCTGAACCATCGATCTACGCGCATGGGGCCGCCCAGTCAAATTGCTCTTCTCTGCGCGTCCCGAGGTTCCGTAGGCCCAGTATTGACACCTCGATCCTTTCCTCGACGCCATCGCCTGTTCCTTCCTTACAGTAATGATTTATCGAGGTCAACCACATGTTTCTTGTCATTGCAATCTCAATTGGGTGGTAATGCGCAATATACGTACACACGATGATAGTTGAATACGCGTGTTAAGTAACCAATCACTCGTAAAGCCGGACGGAGGGGGAGAAATCGATAGATATATGACGGCCTTTCTTGTTATAAAAGAAATGAAGTAGGAGGATGCCACGTCTCGGCGTGCTCACGGGTAAGACGACCTAGGACAAAAACAAGTCTTGGCTTGAGCTTAGTGATTCCAGCCGGGATCGAACCGGCGATCGCCTGTGTGTAAGACAGGAGTCATAACCACTAGACCATGGAATCTTGTTATAGCATAAACTACAAAAGATACATCGTATACAACTGATTACCCTACGCACAAGATGCATAGAAGTACTTACTATGGGAATCATACAGGTCTATCCAGTAACTACTGCAGATTCTGGATGAAGCCTTCTAGCATCAGGTACAGGATGTTACTACAGTATCCGTTTATGTAGTTCAGGCTGTACAGTTACAGTATGCAGAACAGCCACAAATGAGGCAACCCTACTCGACAGATCGAACAGTCATGCGCCCGCGTATCCGGCCTTCAGATTTACCTAGTGGTCGACCCTACGCCGTTTGAAGGGAGGCAGCCGAGGCTCTGGCGCGGCAACCAGCTCCACGTCGGACGAGTCGTCATCGACTGCAATCGCGCTCTCCCGTCTTTTGCCAGTTGAAGAAGCCGCCCGCGCATTCGCAACGTCCGTTCGAGCCGCTGCCGGCACACGTTGTCTCCAGTCCTCTACGTCGAGGAGTCTGGATGCGCGTCCTGCATCGCCGCCGCTCGCATCCCAAGCGGCGCGAACATCGGCGGTATCGCGTATGATATATGCGATACGGAACTTATTGAACCTGATTTTCTCCGCCTGCGAGGAAAACTCTAGAGGCCCCTTGGTTGAGTTGTTCTTGGGACGAGGCTGATCGTCAGTCGTCAGATGCGCCTTGGACGATGAGCATGGAAAGCACCAACCCGAATACGCGCGAGCAAACCCGGTGGTATGTTACTCTCGTAGTAATGCATCCCTTTCGAGCGGTTCTTGAGCTGAGCATTCTCCTTCTCCAACACTTCGACCCGCGCCTTGAGCTGGTCAAACTCAGAGCGAGATGGACCCGCTTCGGCTTTGGGTCGCGCACCACCACCAGTGCTTTCAGACGCCTGGAACCGTCGCTTTTAGCATCCGATAAGGACATCGAATAAGGTCGAGCAGTACCTGAGTACGACCTGTCGCGTCGCGCACACCGGCTTCTTCGCGCTCCAATTCATCCGTAGCAGACTTGACTAACCCGCGCAGAAACTCCAAGCGGTCAGGTTTTCCCTTTTCTGTGGTTGGCATGTCGGCTTGAGGTTAAGTATGGGTCCACTGGACAGGACGACGGCGCGCAGACGAGATGGGTGTTTTGGTTGACGCGCGCGACGCGCCTTGACGCGAGCTGTCACTTCCGTGACGTACTTAATCACACCCGCGTCGCACGCGCTCCGGCTTGGCTTGTTTCCTACCGTCACCTATCGCATGTCGAGATCCTGTAAAGCGCGTGGCGCGCATGTCGGCACAATCTAGAAGAACATCCTTGAAAGGAGGAAGACGTGTATGTGCCCAGCGATGTCGGTATTCCCGCGTGAAGGTTGAAGCTGTGAGCGCAGGCGCGCTGGAGTACCGGAAACACGATGTCCGTGTTCTGAATGTTCTCCCCGACTTCTTTGAGCGTGGAGATATAGAGATTTTGCGCTTGGCTGATACTGTGCGCTCTACAATAGGCCGTTGAAGTCAAGCACGGAGTGCGCCAGTTTCGTCTCCGAAGAACCCGGTCTCAAGATCATACAACACGAACCTCGCTCACGGAGTATCCACTTCAAGGGATCAGCACTTGGATACACCATTGAATACGGAATCTGATTTAATTCGCTTTACTCCGAACTAGCTATATCTCTCATGATATATAAGACGTTCATCTTTGTACATTCTGAAAGTACATCGACCTTGCCATACCTTCCAGTACGATGGATTCATTGCCCTCTTTTGCTAGCGTCAGCTTCAACGTGCTGTGGTTCCTCACGTGCTCAGGGTTAAACCAGATGGACTCGCATGCGCAAAGCCGCCCATGAGAGTGTTCACAAGTCCCAGGACTTCTACGAGAATCAGACGACGGAGGCACTGCTTCTTGCCCGTGGTGGCCTACAGGATGCCTTAGGTTGGAACAAACATGTCCGTCGCGCTGTTGCCAGTATGACGACGTCTTGCATATACAACAAGCCAACGGTAAGTTTCTACCTTCGATGTTGAGGATATCTGAATCCATTTCATGTGCCGCAGATCACAAGCGAGCAAGATGGACGGATCGGCTATATACAGGGCTTCGCTGCACGGGCGACTTCTGCTGCTGCCCCGGGAGCGCACTGGGCAGTTCACTCTTCATCCAGTCACCTGTACACTATTGACTGACTCGGGCTGTTGTGCAGGTAGAGAAGCTGCCTTGGATGCGCTACATACCAAGTAGATGGGCACCTTGGAAACGCACGGCAAAAGAATGGCATAGAAAAGATAGCGAGATATTCCTTCAGCTTTACGGGCAAGTGCGGGACAAGGTGGTGCGTTCGCAATTTCTTTTTAGTATATTCTACTTCGTTTCTGATCCATACCTCAGATTGTTGGCGATGAGCAAGCGTCCATCTGCGCCACTCTTATCCGCAACGCTGATCGCCATGGATTGAGCGACCTTGAGAGTGCTTGGACGGCAGCTGCGTTGTAGTGAGTGCACCCAAGCGTTCAGCATACTTCAAATTTACATGAACGTTGCATTTACTAGCGCCGCTGGGTCCGATCCGGTCTTCGCAGTTATGTTATTTTGGTCCTTGGCGATGCTGGTGTATCCCGATACTCAGGAGCGTGCTCAACAAGAACTCGACACTGTCGTTGGACGCGCGCGAGTGCCCACCTTCGCCGACATGCCGCATCTTCCGTACATCCGCGCCATGGTGAAGGAGGCCAACCGCTGGGCATCTGCACTTCCACTTGCAGTGTACGTACTTCCGCACATCTCAAATGCGGAGAGGTGCTGATAACCACATCTGAAGCCCACATCGCAGCACTCAGGACAACTTCTACGGAGATTACTTCATCCCTAAGGGTACTATCGTTGTCGCAAACACCTGGGAGCTCAATCGCGACCCCGAAGTGTATGGTAGCGACGTACACTGCTTCAACCCGGCGCGCTTTCTCGACGAGCAAGGGAAGGTTATATCTGGTCCTCCTGGCTCCAAGGGCGAAGGCCATTTCACGTTCGGTGCGTTTCTTTGAGCGCATTCGTACATTGACTATAATGACGATCTCTATCGCTTATTGCAGGTTTCGGCAAACGGTATGTTGTCTATACCTATTAGCATCATCTCGCAACCATTGACGATTCAATAGCATCTGTGTTGGTCGCACTATCGCTGACAACAGTCTCTTCATCAACATCGCCACTTGTCTTTGGGCGTTTTCCATGACTAACGTCGAGGGCCAGAAGTTGAACGTTGGAGAGTCCGATGACGACGGTTTGACCATGTACGTCGCCTATCTTCAGGATCACTGAGATGCTGAGCGCTGATGTCTGCTCCCAGTCGTCCCAAGCCCTTCGACGTTGAGATACAGCCTCGTTTCCCTGAGGCTGTCACGCTGCTCTCCCATGAATGCGAACTCCGCGGGCAGTGATAATCGAGCTCAGCGTCATCATAGCGCTCTCGCTTGGACTATTCCAGTGCAGCATATGTACGGTGGAGAGCAATTATGTATAACGGTCTACAGATTACATGTGCAACTGCAAGTCGATTTGATGGAGATATATCGTTTTCTACTGCTTCTGAACCACAGCCAATGTGATAGCGTCCCAGATCTCGGGCTTCATCGCCCAATCCTTCGACGCACTCAGGACACCCCGAGTTCCCAATACAGGCCTCTGAGCGATGCGTGACAGGTCCGCATTATGTGTCGAGACGAAGATGCGCAGGAATCCAACATCAAGCTCCTGTCCGACTGGTAACTCGAATGTAAGCGGTTGTAAACCAGCCTCTCCATAGTTGAGTGGGAGCGGCTGCGCAGCACCCCTACGTAGCGGCGGCTGGACGTTGCCCTTGGGTGCACCATAGAACTTGCCTGCAAACGAGACCCGCGGTCAGTACATCGTATATAGACTCGGCTAGTATGGCGGCAACGTACATATCTCCAGGGTGCTGCAATCGAAGAAGAACATCCATACGAAAAGGTCCCAACCCTGACCGACTTTGTATGTGTTGACAACGTCAACACCGTACACAGTCCGCTTGTCACTATGATCGCCAGCGCGAGCCGTGTGCGGATAGAACCCGCCCTGGGTCTTGATATCGATAGGGTCCCCGTCAGGATGATATACTGGGACTGGGACAATAGCGTCATAGTCCACCTCCCTCCGAATACGGCGCACGTTCCCAGAGACCACACGGCTGAGCCCTTGCTTTTCCGGAGTGGAACGAAGGTGGTAGAAAAAATGTGCCATGGAGCGCAGCACAGATCGCAAAATTGCATGCTGCTCCGTAAGGCGAACAGTCCCGCATAGGCGTTCAAGCCGTAGGCCCCGTATGCTCTCGTCCAAGATCTCGAAGCCAATGAGTTTGCCAGTGACCGGAAGACCAGCTGCACCAACAGTTGGCGGGGCGTTCGCAAGCTCATCGGACCCTAGAAGATAGAGGGAGATCGATGCCGTAGCTGCGTTCGAGAGGATGAAGCTACAGTCGGATGCCTCGGGCGAATGAAGGGCCTCTTCCATCAACGCCTCGACAACGGCGTATAGGTCCGGATACTTTGTTTGATCAATGAAGATGGAGAACGTATTGTGGCTTCCAGGCGAGATACGCGTCAAAACAGCGGTGGCGCTCGACCAATCGTTGAGGTCGGGGTGGAGATCGTCGACGGGAGACATTGTGCTTGTGATGGGCTGCACCGCGCCGACACGAAGATTGCCCCCAGATGGTTTGCCAGTTTGAAAGGCGTGCTGGTCACGGTATACTGCGAATGTGTCCCCCTTGTTTATACCGTTGATGACACCCGCCTGCATGATGTATGAAGTTCTGTCGCCATCTATAAACCTCTCAATGGTATAGCAGGTGCGGTCGCGCTGCGCAATGCCAGAGTCGAAGATGATGCGCGTGTCCTTGTCACGACCCTCGCACTGTGGTGTTTGGCTGCGAAGATATTGAGATTGAGTGTCTGAAAAGGCTTATTCAGGTACGTACGAAGGCAAGTTGTCGAGACGCCGTATGAGCT